ATCAAAACGATACAGAGGAGACTATGAGCAGTCTCTGCTTTTCTAGGAAGTTCGTCGTGCTATTATATAAAAAGAGGGGGGTAATTTATGTTAGTACACCGCACAGAACTCTGGAGATGAGCATTCCACTCGATGCATCACGGCAAAACCAACGTACCGGCCACTTCCTCCATTCTTTTGTCAAAGGGCACCCGAGTTGATTGAATTCTTCTTCTGGTGGACTGCTTAGTCTCAAAAAAGAACTTCTGTGCACATCATGATTAATCCTGAAAAAGCTGAAAAAGCCATACAGAGGTATGATGTCCTAAACTGATTCGAAATGACATAGACCGTTAAGGATTGGTTGAACCAAAGAATTCTCACGATGATCAGGTGACCGCCCAACCGACTGGTTTCTATTTCCATCAACACATCATGACATGACGAGTGTGAGACACTGAACCATTATTAATCACTTACTCAAACACAGAATCTCTTACTTGCTATGAGACCTGCTCAAAATCTTGAATGAAAACACATGCCCCTAGCATGTGATCGTTATGAATAGATTGTTGATCTTGATTTCATTCTTAATGTGAATAAATTTCTTAAAACTTTTTTATCTTTAGAGAACCCTTTTGAAAACCACGTTTGAATGAATGAAGGCGTCTTCGTGAATTTTATCTTCTTATTGTTGTTACTGCTATTTAATGATTAGTAGATGGTTTTGGCACTTTATTATATCTGTCATGCGGTGCGGGCCTACATCTTCCCATAATCCAACCCGATCATGTCCAGTTTCCTTTCAATTTTTCGCTTCAAAGAACTAAAATAAACAATTTGTTATCTGTCCAGTCAAGGTTGCAATGACTACTTCTTTACACTGCAAAGATGCCTCTTTTCTGATGATTTTTGTAATAGATTCATAAGGATAAGGAACATTTAACTGTAAGTAATGTTTCTAAGCTCTGCTTTGCTTGCAGTTCCATTTAATTACTAAAGTTTTCGTAAGTTAATCATCGATCCGTACTAAAGCTTCTTACTACCAACTTCAAAGCCGATTACTTAACTATCAACTCTGTGCGTACCAACTGACTAAGCTTGTGTACGAATCTTTGTAAAAATTGAAGCTTTTAACTCTTGAAGTACATTTTCAAAGCCCGGGCATTTGCTTCTTGTATCGATGTGTTCCTCAGCTTTAGAGATACCATCTCGCTAGGAACTTATAGCTAATACGGCAACGACTAATCTTTAAAATACTGCCATTTTTCCATAACTTTTCTCTCTTTTCTGTCATGAGCTAAATAAAGATATTTAGGGTAAACGGACACATATGGATTTGAAAAACGAGATCGATAATGCATTCAGGAATAGAAAAACATTCTATGAAAAGCTTTATCTTTGGAAATGGGTATCCAACGTGCTTTGTTAATTGAGCGCATGAGCAAGCACATTTTCTAGCTAGGGGGGACCAGAATGTCCCGAGTGTCCTGAGGTTTCTGTAACGACTTTTTTTAGCGTGCTAGATGCAAAATAAAACATTATGTTCTACTGGGGGAGCTCTGTAGTTGCAGGGGGTAGGAACTAGTTAGGAAAGAACATGGAGACCAGTTTCAAGAGAGATAGTCTTAATTGGTGAGAGAATAAAATGAAAGAAGCCATCTGAGATCAAGGAACAGAAAACAGACAGTTTATGAGCAACACTATATTTGTATATCATTCTATGTGGTAAATCCCCTTCATTGTAAGCCTTCTCTTAAAATTTGCACATGAAAATATGCTTGCTATTTCAGTAATGCAACAGGAAGCAGGTTGAGGGACAGTGTGTATCAAATATGTTACTGTTAGAAAAAATATTGCATAAGATGCCTTATCTCAGTTTGTGGGTGTAACCCTTTGTTTCAGTAGTCAGATAATTAAAAAATATATTAATGAAGCACCTTTAGTCTTGATGACTCGTTCAAAATTATTTTGCCTTTTTCCTTAACATTTGAAACTGTGATAACAACTTTCTTGCTTACTGCAAATTAAGCCAGAAGCCTGCCCCCTGTGTTTGTGTTTTGTTTATTCTGGTATCATCTTTTCAGTTTTTGATGAATAATTAGCTGTGTGTTTTCAAAATAGTGATATACAGACTCTATCACACTTAATTCACAATTTTATTATTTTCAATTCTCAGGGAAACAATGGCTGAAGAAGTGGTGAACAGACAAGGTGATTTGAGTCTTCATATTTTTCACAAGTGGAAGGATACAAACCTTGGAAATATACTGGCACCAGTTTTAGCTTTTGTCATAGAATACCCAATTGCCACTTTATTCATTGCAGTCTTCATGGGACTCTCAGCATTGCCCTTAGTGCTGTTTGTGTCATTTGTCTTGTACAGTTTCCTCTTTACTATGCTGGGGTTTGCAATGGTGGAAGGCACGCTGTTGATGATTGCTGTTTCTATGCTCAGTGCAGTCATATTTTTTGCTTTCTTTGTGTCAATCTGCATAACAGCCTTTCTTATCTTCACGTGGAGTTCAGCCGCTGTGGGTTACACTTTTGTTCAAAAGCTGAAAGGAATAGTTCTTTACTTTTTTCCATCACTGAAAGAAATCTTGGAGAATTATGCAGCAGTGGAACGGTCACGATCAGATTGAATCTTGTTTTTTCATGGTATAACTTTTGACTGTTGTCAAAAATTGATATTTAAAGTGATCTGTTCAACTTGGTTACTATTTAAGGGAAAATATTGTTCTTTCATCCATTCTATTATCATAATGGTATTTTAAGTAAAAAGAACTGCATGTGTGGATTTCATTTTTATTGAAGAAGTTTTTCACAAGCAGCATAAATAGTATAGTTGGAGGTTATCTAACACAAAAAAAGTTGAGTGTTTTACAGATTTTTACCCTGCTTCTCTTAAGGATGCCAATTTTAAGAGAGGAAGTGTCACTTGTAGTATATTTTCTTGGATGAATTCCCATGTTCTTATAGCTATAGGGCTCCAAGTAAAGGCTGGTCAAAGGTCAGTGTAGGGTGAAAAATAGGTTTTGTCTGGTCAACTCCTTGGATGGCTGGACATTTTTTCTGGTTGGTTACCCATGTAAAGAACAACTCAATTGCAAGCTAAGTTCAGTTTCATTTTTCCTTCATTGAGTTTGAGGCTGCACAATCAAAGCATAGTAAATACCCTTGTTTTATAGGAAGGGGGGGGGTCTATACAGATATGAGGTAATGGAAATGTGTACATTTGTCTAAGAGAAAATAGGTTTGATTGGACAATTTGACCAGCACCAGCTGGGAAATTGTTTTGAGCCTTGAGCCAACAATGCCCTGTTGGGAGTCATGCCCACCCACTGAGCATAGATATCAAGTAAGTTACCCCCCCCTCTCCAAATGACTTTCTTGAATAATGAGGATACAAAGAAAACTTGATTCTCTTCTCACAGTCTCTATTTATAACCATTGAAACCTCTACCACCCTAGATCTGATCAGCAATAATTGTCCCTTTTAGCAGCAGAACATTCGCTTTCAAATTAGAAATGAGAGTCTTGCAAAAGGATGCTCTCTTGTTGCTAAGTTTGTTTTCTCTTATCACTTATTTGCTGGCTACCATTATTGATATTGTAAGGGAGTTAACCCCTTCACTCCAGATATCATAATGGAAAATTCTCCCTACTGTCTTCCATTCATTCCTTATAAAGTTTGTACTAAGAATTTGGAGTTTGGATTGAATGATAATCCCAGAGTTAATATTTTTTGCTACTCCATCACTTATTCATATTATAAGGAGCACTTTTGTCCCACATCAAATTTGTAACTCTCCTTACTGTCAACCATACAATTCTTATAATGTTAGTTCGGAGAATTTAGTATTGGATTAACTAATTATCCTCAAATTGATATTTTTTTTATTCTTATCACTTATCTGGTTGATATTGTATTGATATTGTAGGGAGAAATTCTGTCTTGGTCACTCATGGGAGTTAAAGGGTTAAAACCGTACCAGTTCTGGTGGCTTATTGTTTTATATTCCAAGTCAAGTGAATTAAATGTCATCTGTCCATCATGTTGGGGGTGGGTGTATATCAACACCACGATGACAACAAAGTTACACCTAGCACTGGTGATCACTCAGGGAATGAAATAACAGTCATTAACCTGTGAATAATATTGTTGATTGGTTGTTTATTCATTAGTCGGGATGAAAAGCGATGTGTGAGTAATAATTTTGATAAAATAGATTTGGCACTTGAAGTTTGCATTTCTTATTTATTGATGTAGATTTTTTTTTCAATCTCACTGGCAAACATTTTATTTATGTGTATTACAGCTACATGGAATATTTGTGTGCTGTAATTATCACCAGTTTAGTAGTAATTTATTTATTAAAAGAAAAGTCCTGTTAGTGTGGATTTTGTGGATTTAAATTCTAAATGAAATTATCATTCGGTCCAGTTCTAAGTCATGTTTTTTGAGTGTTGCATCTTCTGTTAAGGGAAGGGGTAGCAGTTTACAGGTGTAGCTGGGTTTGCATCCAAGTTTCAACAGGAGCCCAAAGGAGGAAAGTAAGCCAGTACTGCAAGCAATCCTGAGCCAAGTGGTCTTCTATTAATTCCACTCCCTCCAACATCTTCTTGTTCCTTTCACCATAATTTTCATGGCCAAGGGCAGAAAACTCTTTACTAATTCTGGAATGCTAAAAATGATAATACCTTCAAGGTTGGTCCTTTCATTTAGTTTTTAACTGGTGTGTTTTTTATGAAACAAAGACTCATCATTGCTCTTGACATGGAAGAGGGGAAAGGGGGAATCAAGGGGGTTTTATGTGACTGGGGGCAGTTTATGAGATTTGGGTACTTATAGGAAGTACCCAATGAAAATCCCCTTATGAACCTTAGGGGGAGGGGGGAGGTGTGGGGGACTCAGTGAAAACTCAAAGAGAAGGTGAAGGTCCAAGTTTTTTTTATTCCTGGTGCAAGACTTTTCATTGGTGGTGACAAGACAAAGGACATGCTTCTTCATAATGCAGATCATTGTCTTTCTTTAGAATTAAAGCCTACATAGCATCACAAATACCTTACACAACATGTATTCCTTTTGTCAAAAAAGCTTTAATGTGCACACCAAAAAAAATCACAGGCCTTCAGATACACCTATATTCAGAATTGCCAGTGAACACAGGTTTTAAAGGGAACTTGAAGCTCTAATAGAGGACTTGGTGTGGGAGTAAAGGTAGGAGTATTAAAATGAAGTAAAGTCACCACACTAAAGGCCAAATTATGGCAAAATGTTGAGCCATACTACACACCTAATCTTGGTTCTGACAGAAGAGTGTTTTCTTTTTACTAGAAATGTCTGCAAAAACAATAATGTAAAAAATGTTATTGGACATTATGGTCTCTCTCTTGAGTAAAAAAAGCTGAAATCATGATAAAGACATCACCCCCTTAGTATTTGATATTTTTGGATCCATCATCAAAGCAGTTGGCTCAGAATTCCAATACATAATTTATCTTGAAAAGGCTAGGTTATACAGTTAAAAAGCAATTTCAGAGTTGAGTATCTGTGCACAGGTTAAGACTGTGAACCTACTCAGAAGGAGACTTCTCAAACTTTTTTTTCATACTAATTTACAAGAACTTGTTTCTTTAAATCTATGAAAATCATTAACCCTTTGACTACCATGTAATATTTCATATTTCTTCACAATATCACCCCTAAATCAAACACAAAGGTCACAAGAGTAAAGGAAATAATAACCAACAAAAGCAGCTGTTGATTGTTAATCATATTCTCTTTTTCAGTACCATATGAAATGTACAGAGATTTGTATGGAGAATATGCATTCTGATATAAGGTAGGGTGTACACAGTTGGGATGTTGCCTGTGCTGCCTATGAAGAACTGTTACTATGTCAGTTTTACCATAAGACCTCCATTATACTATCAACAGTTCCTGATACAATGAGTTTCTATATAGGAAACTTATGACCTACAGTTGCATCCCAACACAAAACAATAAAGTACACTTCCCACACAAGACAAATTTTTTTAATAATCTTGTACTTTCTATCTATGACCTGTTACTACTAATACTCCACAATCTTAAAATATAAGAAGTTAAAGTTTGTCATTTTTATTTATAAAAAAAAATCCAAGCTTATTCCAATTACTGCTATAGTTTTATTTGAACTATAATAATAAATTGTTGTCAACTCAGGTTTACATAAAGACACACAGTGCATGATAAGCTCTCACTTATTTTTCATAGCAAATGAAAGCTCTCTTTTTGCTTAATCATTAGAAAAACAGGGGTTTCAACATTTTTCATGAGTGGCTACCAGTGGTGCAAGAAGTAGCTGTGCCAATATATGAACTCAAACATGAGCCTACTCGCGGAATAAACAGACAGCGGTGAGAGGTCTTTAAGGCGGCAGGAAACCACTGGTAACCACCTTTCATTAAAATCCCTAGACAATTAAAGTGAATCTAGATTCAAGCCATTTTGTATCATTCATAAAGAATATGATTCATCACTGCTATTTTTCATATCATATTTTTCCTGCTTCAAATTCTATGTACGTAAACGATGATAGAGCATAAAAGAAAAGTTGGGAAAAGGAGATAAATAACAGAAAAAATACTGAGCAAAAACATTGCATCTTTTAGGCTCACTGTGAATGAAAAAAATGTTTATCCCTAAATGATTTAAAGTTGAAATAGCCACTTAAACACTTAGAAATCCAAAGCCAAATAAATAAAAGGAAAAAAAGTACAAGAACACACACAAAAAAACAAAACTTCATCCCAAGATTTTCCAAGAAAACAGAAAATGCTTTACATATTCTATCCTTTGACAGTGTAGCCGAGTAAGGCACTTCCACAGAAAGAGATGAAAATAATCAATTTCCTTGTTAATATTCCACAGCTTGGCAGTGGCAAGTCATTCTTGCTCATCACATCAAATAAACAAACTTAGTTTAATTAATTAAAAAAGATAATTTTCTGACTTGGTTACAAAATAGTTTTCTCCTACATGGCTGCATCCAGGTTTTTACAATATTTGCAAGAGTGTTTCAAAAGTGACCATAATGAAGTGAGACATTTATGCCAGTCTCGGTTCTCTGCCAGAACTTCCATACATCACAACATTCAAACTTTTAATCAAAGCATTATATATTGCATTATCATTACCATTATAAAACAATTGGTCATAGCCACCATAAATGAAGTATATGACTGTTTCTTTCTCAAAAATCAATGATCACAGTTTATGATATATAGACAATACACGATAGATTAGAAAAATTCGTAATCTAGATGACACTAACCAGCTCATAACAACCAGGATATTTTCAAATTACTCTATGAAAAAAGTAAAAAAAGCTACCTTTTGTAAGATTTTACAAGAGGTTTTTATTGTTATGTATGCTATGGCAATTTAGCTTTCTTATGTAAATAAACATTCTCAAAGACATGACCTGAAGTCAGACCATCTTTGTTTTGACACTCCAGGTGGCAAAATGAGACACGAGTAGCCACACTCCTGTCTTTGTACTGTACCTTGCTAACCTTCAGTGAGTCTCATAGAGCCCTTTTTAAATTGAAATATCTTGAAAAACATTGTGTGGCAACATACTTTGCACTTCTGAGTTACTGCAGCATCAAAGACTTCAAATTCTCCTGTAAAATGGTGTCTTTCACTGCATGGAAAACAAACTTGATATTTTCTGTGTCGATGGCTGTTGTGAAGTGATGAAAGAGAGCTTTAGACCTCTCTCGTCGCTTGCTATCAAACATTTGTAAAATAAAGTTCTGAACATCTTCCAGTTTCCTTTGATCACCTATAAAAGCTGGGAAGTAGTCTTTAATGTTTGCATATTTGATCTTTTCCATTAAAAGATCTGTCTTGTTGAGAAAAAGGATGATAGACACATTGGCAAAGAACTTATTGTTGACTATAGTCTCAAATATGTTGCACGACTCCACCAGACGATTTGTTGTTCTGTCTTCCATTAGAACCTGGTCAAAAGCACTTGATGAAACAAGGAAAAGGATGGATGTAACCTCATCAAAGCACTGGAACCACTTAGCTCTTTGTGATCTTTGGCCACCTACATCAACCATTTTGAAAGGAATCCCCTTGATGATAAACTCATGCTCTACAATACCTTTTGTTGCTTTTCTTGCATGAAGGACATCTTGTTTTGAGGGCATGTAATCCTTTGAACAAAGAGAAATGAAGAGTAAGACTGAATATTATATCTCTCAGTGTATACGCTATGATTGGACAATTTAGTGGGCTATAATTCCCCATACAGCCAGCTAAATTAAAAAGTTTGTTTTAGTTGATTTCTCCACTTTATATTTGAATCCAGAAATGAAATAATTATACTATTAAACTCTTTTTCTCAGTTTGCACTCTAAGATACTTACTCAAGGTTCTTTTATACCTTGTATTTTCTGCTCAGATTTGGCCCACAAGCATCACACTTAGGCCGTAAAACCAAGGGGAAAAACTTGGTCCATAACTTACAGTACAGACCTTGAACATGGTTAATAAGTGGTACTTAAATTTGATGAAACAACTCTTCTTACATAACAGCCAACTAACATAGCACTTTTCAGAATAAATGGGTATATTTCATAATTCAAAAACAGCATGACTACACTTTCATTAAAAAGTGTTTTTACAAAATGTCATGATGGCTGTATCACAAAAACAATAAAATCATGGCCATGTGGTTGAAGAAATCAGACCTGTACAGTTTCAACTTTTATCTCAGGTAAATATTATTTTCAGTTCCAGTTAATTTTCAAATGACCCATGTGGAAATGAGCTATTAATGACTGAAATGTGTTCATCTTTCCTTAAAAAAAGTTACTAGTGTGGAAGAATGGCTGATTTAAGATGGCAAAAGAAAAATTTGAATCTCCCTGCCATCTTTTCCCTTGTGTAACATCCAAGTCCTAATAACTGACAAAACTGTTTGCCTACTGAACTAGCTCAACATAAAACAAATTCATCCAAGAATGACATGATCCACAATTTTCACATAACATGGTGGAATCAAGCCCAGAAAATTTCAAGCTGGTCTGAAGAGAGAGAACATCTGGCCTAAGACTCGAGTTATACAGTTTTTTCATGAATCAATAGGATAGGCAAACTAGCATTGATTTTGGCTAATTTTTTTAATCAAACATCAGAGCTACAGACTGAGGCCTAATCCAAAAAGTGTCCCAGCTGATGTTCATGATGACATTCTAATATTCCTTTAGCTTTATCATAATAAATTGATTTGCTTATTTTTTCCAAAAAAAAAAAAAGAAAAGAATATGCTTCCTGCAAAGTATTGACCATGAACATCATCTGGTTGGAATTGCTTGCTACACTGAAATAAATTTGACAGTGGGTTGAAGATAACTTCAGCAAATAGAATCAAAATATTACTTTGGATTCACCAGTATTTGATCTGTGCAGCGTGGTTCAAGTTCCAATGCAAAAACTGAACAACAATCCTCAGAGCAAAATATTTCTCATTAAGATCAAACATTCTTTTCTGGAATAAGGAGGTACATAAGTTAAATATTTTGGGTAGACTTTAAAGGACATGTGGACAAGATAGAAATTAGCCTGAAAAAGAGAAACTATAAGACACAAAAGCTTTAAGGGGTTTTAATAAGTGTCCTGCATAAAAAAATTACTACTTTGCAATCTATATTTAGTTCTAATATATATATGTTTTTAGACAGATATTATCTAAAGAAATACTTGATTTGCTGTCAAATCTTCAATGACAGCAAAACAGACCCTTTCAAGACTGCCATTAGAATTACCTCTATTTCACTCCCTCAATTTTGAAGTGTGTGTTTATAACAAATAACGTTATATAGCCACTTTAGGCACTCAATGTATATCACTTAACAAAGGTGAACGGAGAAAGCATTACCTCAAAATACTGACCGGATTTTAATCGCTCTAGGGACGATTTTAAAGTGCATATCAACAGCAAAAAGAAGGGAAATTTGGGGCGTGCTTATGAACAGGAGCTTCTTACACTCGAGAGCTTTACTTGAATTCACCAAACGCTCAGACAAATCACGTTAATTATAAACTCTCAAATTATTGTAAATCCAAACATGAAAACGAAACATGTATTTTAAAACCAATTTTCGAGTTGTTTAATCGTAAACGCGAATATAAGAAATAAAAGAGCAGTCGATTAAACTAAAATGACGCTCACGATTTTTGTTCGTCGTTGGATAAATGACAGCTATAAAATTTATTGTGCTCACTTGTTGTTATTACTTTTCCAATCGTATGGCAAGGGAAAACTGGAGTCTATTTAGAGAAGAATATTTGCTCTGGTAAATAATACGGGAAAATGAATTTGACAGTGACATGTTTGCTGAAATGAGTACCGAATACCGAGATTTCAGCATGTTTACAATTACAGTTTCGTTTAAGACGGCGACCTCGATTGATGATTCTTTTCGATTCGATGTGAGAAGTAGGACATTGGAGGAAAAGAGAACTTACCTGCCGACCAATACGTTCCAAATGGTCGAGGAAATATTTGGAAGAATCGCCCTGGAAAAAAAAAGGAATGGTTACATCCCTGAAAGAATGTAAATTTCAAACTACCCATGACCGATCGTTTGTTCTCTACCAAGACTAACATTTCCACGTACACATTGTATAGTAAACTACAAAATACAAATTAGAAGTTCGATTTGCAAGTTAATTTGACGGGAGGACGTAAAAGTCTCCTGTTCCGACTGCTCTAACCTGATAATTGAGCTTATAAAGTTAAGAACAAAGCATGGACTCCCATCAGATGTGATTTGCTGAATTGTATCGGTCTCGATATCATTAAGTTGGTAAACCAACCATGATTCTGTATTCCACAACAATTCTTTCAGTTTAGTCTTTACTATTGCGTGTAACGCAGAATACTGATGTAAAAAACAAAGCTCGGTGGAGTAAAATGGTCTAAGTGTGTGTACTATTGAAAAAAATACAATAAATACAGCTTTAGTTTCCTTCATGGCCAGCATTGTTGAAATCAACGAGAGTTATGTGTTATGCATAATACATTGTTTGTGGTGGCTTGCAGAAGCCGCGCTCTTTTAGCCCGGGTATTAACATGAAATTCACGATCTCCAATTTAACCTCGCACAGCTGACTTAGATAAATGTTAAATGCTTAATCATACCAGCTGAAATTCTCTCCTTCTATCGTAAGCATTTTGAATTCCCTTATCCCGCCAAAGCCTTCTCACACAATCGAAGTAACTCATGAAAAGCTCTGTGTCGATTTGTTGTGGTGCCGTGAAAGCTAAGATCCTTTCTGCGTACATTTGGTTCGATTGATCAGTCCATTCGAGCCTCAATTTCCTTCGGGCATCAGCTAGGACTTTCATCCCCTTGAGGATGTTAGCATAAATGATTGGGCGAAATTCATTCAATGCTTCACTGTCGAAATCCTGGCCATGAATGATGCGCATTTGCTTTAGGAACGTGCTTTTCCCACTCTCCCCAGCGCCTAAAAGCAAGACTTTGACTTGACGACGGTACTGCACTTTCTCCTGGGCAAGCTGTTTGTCTATTTTCCTAGATTTGGCCCTTTGTTCGGCCTCCTCCTGGCTCAGGCAGCAAGCGTCGAACACCATTATGGCCGACAACAGGCTGCAACTGACTGCAAAATCCACACCCACTGAGGGTTAAAGGCTAGGGAGAACCTGGCCTTTGATCAGCGCGACCAATAAAGAGCTGACCGGAAGAAAGACCTATTTTAACACGTTTTAGAACTGATTTTTCGAGGCTAATTACATCTCACACATTTTATTGCTCCGCTCAACTCTAAGAATGCTAATCAATAGATTGAAATTTTTATTAAATATTGGACAAGAATAGGACAATGAAACAGCATCGGCACTAAAGCATGCACAACGGCCTGCGTGATCAGCACATGTTTGACTCCCTTTTAGTGGTAATATTCTTGTTGATCTTGATTTTTACTGGTTCAAAACAATAATAAAATCGAGAAATGGATTAATCAAGACAACATTTTAAAAATTAGTACACATAGACATTCTCGACTGATGTAAATGAGGTTGTTGGTTTTACGCCTCATGACAAAAGACAGATGAATTTTCAAAGAGATCAATGTTAAAGGTCTACCCGAGTAACTCATTAAAAAAACCTATCTATTGCTCAATTCACTGAATTAATAAATAAGGAATAAAAGGTAGTAATTTCAACGGAATCGAAATTTTTTCCTCGGAAGATGGAGAACCGACGAAGCGTAAACTGTATATACCAAACTGAGGTTCATATTTTGTATAGTGATCCCTTGATATAAAAAAGACGAACACCTTCTCTCAGTTGCCTGCGACAGTATATACCCTTATCTGAATTTCACGGGTTTTTCCACATTTGGAGTAAATTATTATCCAATTAGTAAGGTTAGCTAATTTTTCTCTCTACATCTAAAATTTCGTTTTTTCTTGGTGGGCTTCAATAAATTTCCACATATATCACAGTGACGCAGCGAATGAATTAAGGTCTCCGCGAAATTAACATTGAAATACTTGTTTGGCTTCTAATTACTCTTCATTATCTGAAAACCGATGCAAAAAAAAGCACGCCGTCATTTAGTTTACACAATAATGTACTTAACAGATCTAGACTCGCCATATCTCGACACTGCTGATACTGGGAGGGACAAATAGTTGAAATGCTCTCGGACTAATCTTATTTCTCGTATCAAAATTGTACAAAATTAAATGATTAAGGGGACGCGATAAACAACTTTAACAATTGGCAAAAGGATCTTTCTTTCTTTACTGTGACGCTCTCCTGATTGAGTCTGTTGAAGAATATCTTGCCGAAAAACTAACAGTTAGTACGGATGTCGCCTAAAAAATCCCGGACTTTTGGTCAGTGATTACAGAAAGGACTGGACCTAGCTATCGCATATTCTATTATTCCCTGAGTGGGGTGGGAGGGGGGCGTCTAAAGGATTTTGAGGGGATCACATGGTTTTCGGGGGGAACAGAGGGTGGATCAGTCGTTACACACAGAGTATCAAGGGGGAGACTATAGAAAACTGGCTATCAATGAAGTGAGGGGTCAAGTAAATTCTACTGTGACACAGCCAAAATCCTCTCACCCACCACCCGCCAGGCCAATAACTGGTCCCGAAATTAAAGAGTTTCTATTTTCGGAAGCGTGCTCCAAAATATTTCAAATCCGGTAATATCCAGTTTATCTAAAAACATAGAGACAAAACAAATCATTCTCTCTTTTACCTTAGGCAGTTAAAATTTTTTAAATCGCTCACAATGAATGCATTTTGAGATCTGGGATAGCACAAAAATTTTTCCCACAAAACCTGTCCTAGCGGATGAAATAAGCAAACGCACATTTTGTTATTCCGATTCAATTAATCCTTCCTATACACCCTCTAATGTTCTATTCCTCTACGGATTTTGATGAATGACATCCGTATATGTAATTAACAGGACTAAACATATATATATATATATATTACTAAACAAAGTAATATTTTTCATATTGATTTTAGATATATGAAATTCATATATTTGCACTGCGGTGAAGAAACGAATGTAAGAGATACTCGCAGCTAAGAACACTACTGTGGTAGTACGGTATCGCAGAGGTCATGGGTTCAAATCCCGTACGCGCCTGAATTTTTTTCAGGTCCTATTTTCAACTACTCGTTTCAGTGGTGTTCTTAGCTGCGAGGATCTCTTACATTCGATTTTTCATATTGTTGTAGCTCTCAGGGACTACAACAGTAGTCTGATATTTCCTTCACTGAACAATATCTAGAGTTAGTAATTAAGTATTTCGGACAGAATTAACCACTGAACAGCATCATTAGGGGCTTCGTTTGTTTGTTTTTTTTCTTTAGGTGCCATTATGTAGCGCTTGTATATGAGCAGTTCCGGCTCTATCTCAGAACGATGTTAAACACACGCACCTAAGGGTTTTCATCCTATGCTTTACTTCATTTCCGATTTTTTTAAAGTTTATCAAAGACGATCTCCTCACAAATCATGGTCTGTATTAAAGGTTCTTAACCAATGCTTGGAACTATTGATAACCATGGGATAAGGGGAGAGGAGGAGGGGAAATGATTCGTCCTGCCTCATGCCAAGGCGTGAGCAGATCTTGGAACGCAATACGTGATGGTCAGACTGCTAACGCAAGCATTTTGGTTGCAACAGTCCTAGAACGTCGATCGCACCGCGCTCAAAAAATGGGAGAGACCACCGCGGATGCCAGGGCTATCCCTACATAGGTATTTACCGCTCCAAAGGGTTTGGGTAATGTACCTCTACCAAAAAGTTAACAATTTTCTGTAGGAACTAACAGAACGGATTTTTGAAAAGGATACTATGAAATAATGTTCGGGCCTTTTTAAGGGCTTATGTAGCATGGACCGTGAAGTAGATCAGCTCAGCTTTAGTCAGCTCGCCTTCGTTTACCCCTGAATAGTTGAAGTATCTCTCAATTTGAATGTTCGTTTAGCAGTTACCTCGTTGTGCCATCCTAAGCAGTTCTGCATGCCTACTGTTACCTACATGCACTCTTTGAACAGTGCCTTTTCATATCGAATGTAAAATACATGAGCGTGCGTTTAATTCTAAACAGCGACGATTAAAAGGATTTGTTGACCCTGAGCATAGTAGATGACCCTCGTTGTTCTATAATTCAGGAGATCATCTCAAGAATAAAGACAGTCAAGCAGGCACGGACTCCCCATGAGGCTTTCGTGGTCGCGTCGCATTATCGCCTTCAAATTATATTTTTGCTCTCACAACCATGAGAATAAAGAACTTTGCCTCTAGACAATCGGTTCTTAAACATACACAAAAGCCAAAAGGTCACGAACGTTTAATGCCTTTTGTTACAATGTACCACCTGGCAGTTAAAAATTTGAAACAAATAATGATGGAACATCGGAGTCTGATATATAATCAACCCCTTACTAAAAACAGTTTTTAGGAAACCTCCGATTATCTCTTACAAAAAGGGAAAAATCCCTTAAAGACATGCTTGTGAGAGCAAAATATAATTTGAAGGCGATAATGCGACGCGACCACAAAAGCCACATGGGGAGTTCGTGCATGTCAGTCTTAACCTTTATTCTCAGAATTTGACTATTTTACTGGAAAAAGGACCCCACTAAAACAAGAACTCAGCCTTACTGAAGCTTTAAATCTCAAAGATCAACCTTTGCGAAAAAGAGATTCGCAAGTTGGAAAGTCCTCTGTTTGGTGGCCGTAATTTGACTGAGAGGAACGCTTTCAACTAAAATTATAGAGCCATTTATAGGAAAAGAGCAATCGGTAAAGCGATGATTCGGGACCCCAGTCCCTCCTCCTCGGGAGGGTCGATTGAGGACCGCACTCGAGAACGCGGCGTTGAACGAGCCTCTTTCATTCGTCGCTAGTAAATTCTTCGCAACAACAGATTATAGCTTTTCTATTTGGTATTCCAAGATGTAAGACATCCATCGTGCTTTACTGTCTCTCTACATTGATCTTACTCCCGCTTCACTCAAGAGGACTACTAATTCTCAAGTTGTGCTTTTGATAAATTATTCGCGAGACACAGTCACGATAGGAGTCATGAATGAAATTGTACGCAAAACACATTTCATCTGCACTGATTTCCTTTTATTTTTCATCGCTTATTTCTTCCTTCCAAACAGTAACAGCTCGCTAAAAACAATTTCCATCTCCGCTGACGACGACTTCTCGCCTTTGAGGAGGTATAGTTTCAAATATCGTAATTTGTTCACTTCATACGTTAACAAGTATATAAAAACAGGCTGTACATACAAAAATACAACAGAAAAGACTGAAACGAGTTGTATAACGAAGTAATGTGTGACTAGCACAGTTTATAGACTGTACGATTTTATGCCACTATCTGTGTCGGTAGATTAATTATAATAAATTAATATAAAATTAAGTTATATTACTGGCTTAAAATTTACATTATATATATCACCGACTGGAAGAAATTATGTAGTCTGCGTGTAGCCGTACCCTCCCCCCGCCAAGGTGAAACGGAGGCGAAGCAACTCGCTTCCGTTTCACCATCGGGGGAGGGTACGCCAACACACAAGCTAGAAATTACGCCGTTAGTTACTAAAATCTTACAGTATATACGTTACCGACTGGAAGAAATTACGTCGTTAGTTACGGGCGTAAAATTTACATTATATACATCTCCGACTGAAAGATGCAGACTGTAAAATTTTACGCCGTTAACTAACGGCGTAATTTTTTTCAGTTATATTTTTAATGTAAGATTTTACGCCAGTAACTAATGGCGTAATTTCTTCCAGTCGGCAATGTATCTACTAAAAGATTTTATGCCGTTAAAAAATCTTACAGTACATACGCCGACGCAGATCGTGGCGTAAAATCGTACAGTCTATAGACTGTGTTAGTCACATATTACACCGTTATCTAATTACCGTTTCACCATATATTTCCTTCTAACAACTTGCAATGTTTGCCCCACGGCGATACCAGAAATCTTTGCGCAAACATAAGCATACGATTTCTGGCACTCATTCAATGCCAGTCATGCTGAAAATCATACTGACAATTACCATAACGCGTCCTAGCCATCTTGGCATGTTGT